AATTTGTATCAATAGTCGACATACGTTATAAGAACAATCTCGGAATAATTATTTAAAATAATATATATTTTTGTTCTTATTTACTATAAATAAAAAAAATTCTGAAAATAAATTTAAAGTAGCAATAAAATAGTCATTATATTGTTCGAAAATGAAGTTTTTGAATTCCTTTATCTATAGTAGTGTAACCCTAAAGAAATTGGCGGAACATTGGGAAATATTTCGGATTGCAAGATTGGTGACTCTTCAGAGATACAGTATTCCTAGATTTCAACTAACATTCCATGCTTTTTCAGTTTTATTTTATTTAAATTTTAGTTGGTTTATTCCATTACTGCTAATGTTATCTTCTACTGCTTTGTTATTAAATGCCTCACTGTTACTTTAGTTATAAAAATTTAGTTGTAATTGTAAATACGTTGAAAAATTCTTCATAAATTGTGTGTGGTACTGAACATTTTAATATTCCTGGTTGATATTTAGGCCAAAATATGAAAATAGGTGCCGTTGATATTTGGCGATTTTTTTTTAACAATCAAGCAGGCGAGATAATTGGCCAAAATGTGGTAACCCGGTTTACTTGAATTTTTTGCAATTCACTTCACTCACAATTTGAACCCTTATTTTGCGGCTATTTTGAAGCCGAATCCAAACGGCTCCTATTCGGCGATTTTACTGATATGAATTACGTTTGGTTGATGTACTTGTAATATTTTTTTTTTTTTTATTCTTATGCAGCTGGCAAATAGTTAGACAACTTTGGTCTTGGATGCCTTAAGGCAAGCGCTGCACAGACATTACTCACTTTGCATTGCCCAGGGTGCGCGTGTAACTTACGCGTAGATACGGACGCGCGGAGTAACAATGCCCTCGCAACGCTCTACGATCCTATTACTTGGGACCGGGACCTACAGTTTAAAGTGGATTCCGAACCACTACAAACATCCCAAGGCACCGCTGGGACTCGAACCCGAAACCTGGGTACCGAGCGCCAGAGCGCTAGCCACCTCAGGCCATTCATGGCCACACACTTTGTAATATAGTGATTATCATTACATTTGGTTGATGTACTTGCAATGCTTGTAATATAGTGATTATCATTACATTTGGTTGATGTACTTGTATACTTGTAATATAGTGATTATCATTTGCTTCATAACTTAGGAAACAAACATTACAAAAATCAAAACACTAATCGGTTTATTCCATAGATTTAACGATTTGTCACATTATAGAATTACATATATAACCATGGTCTTAGATTATTCCTGTAATTCCAATGAAAAAAATAAATAAAAGATTCGTAAGCAGATTTTATTAAAAACAAAACAAAAACTTATATCCTTCAGAATTACGGAAATAAGAGACAACATTTTGTGAAAGTAATTCATGATATTTACTTAAGCCAATGCAGATAATTTTACTTCATCTTAATTAAATGAAAGTAACCTTCTATTTGTTGACATTGATTTTATTTCAAGAGGCCTTTTACACTTTAGATTAGTAAAACTGAACACTTATTTTTAGTTTCTTGATAAGAAAAAGCTTTCGGCCTTCATTTGAGAACTTTTAAATCAGAATGTGTCTTATAGTTATACCAATAGCTTTGCACCAATGAGGTTATTGCTATGGTAACGCTTGTCAATGTAAAAAATAAAAAAAATACAAACAATGAAACCTGTAATAATGAAAAGTTCGGTTTTTATCTTAATTTGATTACTTTCTGAAAACTAATAGATTCAATAAAGTTCTATTTTAATTAAATAAAAAAAATAAATTTTTTTAAAACGAATCTGCGATTTTATTGATATATTTTCTTATAAAATAAATAATTAGCATACATTTTTGATAGAAATCTAATTTAAAAAATAATGTAATATTACTTGAATGATTTCCATGGAATTTTTTTCATTACTTATTAGCCTAGTATGCATCTAAAAGATCATAAATTGATAAAAAAATATTATATTATTTTATTATATTATTTTTATCTTTTTATATTATTATACTACATTATTATTACTATATTATTTTTTTTTCTATATTATTTACTATATTATTTTAAACATGTTTGATTTCCGCGTTTACTTTCCTCATCAATATACTACGGCATTTTTGAAAAGTAGATTTATATGACAACAATTAAATGAATTAAAAAATGGATGCATTAATATAATAATATGTTTATTATCGTTGCATTATTTTTAGCTAAAAATTCATCATTAAACTGGAAAGCCTTTCATTAAAGGAATTTATTTGTTTTTATTTGATTGATTGATTTGCCATTGTTAACAGACGACTGCGAATTCATTTGGCGCCAATGAGATTCTATGATTTGGAAGATTTGCTTTTGCAGCCCAAGTTCAGGACAAACAACAGATAGTGTGTCTCTAACTTAAATATTACATTTATATGCTTGTTAGGTTTTGTGTGTCAAAATAGAAAAAAAAAAAAAAACTTATTTAAATATTAAATTAATTAAATTGAATAGAAATTAATAAAATAAATAAATTAATTACATTAATTATTACTCTTTCTCTTCCATGATAAATTCATCAAATTTTATACACATTTCTCCAGAAACTATGAAAGTTACAAGCAAAAATTTTTTATGGGGCTGGAAGGACATATTTTAACAACTCATTTTCCTCTTTTTTAAAATATAAATTTAATAAAACATTTAACTAAGGGTTACTTTATCTCTGCTATTTTTTCATTGCATTGGCCTACTCCCCCAAAAAACTTATTTCTATAAATGATAAAATCTCAATATGCAGATTTATGTTTATTTTTAAATTATAAGTAGGGAAAATACTAATTTCAAAAATATGATATGATAAAAGTGAGTTTAAAGATCTTTACATACTTTTTCTGAGCTGTTAAGCACTGGAAAAAAAAGCATAATTTGCAAACTTCTGTTTCTCTAAATTTGTGATGTACAATTGCAAAGATAAAGATTCTGCATGTTTAATCACAAAATAAAAATAGATGAATTCCACTTCACACAAGTATCTTTAAATCTACTTCGTATTAATTAAAAATCAATTTATTAAAATTTATGCATGAAAACTGCATATAATAAATTATTACTTTTAGATTTAAAAATTTTTTTTTTTCTTCTAATGCAGCTGGCAAATAGACCGTGATCTTTCCGCCATAAGGGCTGCGCCGATGTTTACTCACTTTGCATTTCCCAGAGGCGCGTGTAACCATGATGGTAAAAAGCCACGGACGCGGGCGTAACAATGCCCCCGCAGCGCTCTACGATCTGACCAGGACCGTTGGGACCTACGGCAAAGTGGATTCGAACCACTACAACACCTATGGGCGAAGCCGGGATTTGAGCCCGGTACCTGTGGTACCGAACGCCAGAGCGTTAGCCTTTCGGCCATTAGGCCCCTGATGGCCGATTTAAAAAGTGAATAATTTATTTTCTGCTATCCGCAGGAACATTTTGCCACCAAATTGGCTTAAAGTATTCTTTTTAATTTATATTAATTTTTAGATTTTTGCATTAAAATTTGTTACTCGATTATAATTATAATAATTTTTTTAAATATACTCTACTTTAAAAAGGCGAGAAATTTGGTTGATCTGTTGAATTCGTTGCCAAAATTCTGTTTGGCAGCCTAAACGTTACAGCATTTATTGCAAATAAATCATTAACTAATGCTTATTAATTCTAGAAATTTCTTTCTTTAATAAAAGTGCAGGGTAATTAAAAACGCGTTCTCTATATGAGCAACTAGCTCTCATACCGTTCACAGAAACTGAACAAGATTTTGATTTAAGGTATTTTGATACATGCGATCAAAATCATATCAAAAACAACAATTAAACTTTCACAATTACGGTTATAGTGACAAAATTTAAATAGCAATATCTATTTTTATTGAAATGTGATGTCCATAGTGAGAAGCCATAAATAGCGTTGGAACGGGATACCAACCGGGACTCGAACCCGAAATCAGTAGCTCCTTTACCGAGCTCTAGTCACTTGGCCATCAGGCCCCTAAGATGGAATGTGCAATATATAATTATTATTTCTTCACAGAAAGACTTGTATGTAACCAAAAATGATTGTTCAATATAGGTAAGAGGAAGATACTTCGAAATATGTTAGCGATGTAAATTCTTATATTAATTGAAATAATAATGCCAAAATATCTTTTACTGATTTGATTTTATATAATTTTGGGAACTGATAATTTAGTTTTGCACTGATACTTAAAGCTGTTGAATAAATGTAAGTTTTTTTTGTTATGTTAGAATTGATACAGTGATCCTTCAGAGTATAAATCATAAATTTCCTGCATATAAGCACCAATGCCATGTGCGTCATAGATTTGGAGTGAGTATACACTCATGGCGATACTCCTGGAAAATTTTTAATGTAAAACCATCAAATTTGAAAATACTTTTTCTGCCGGGACACTTTGAAGTGAATAGACCTTTACTACCGAGAAAATGCCAACAGTAAAAGCGATTCTTCTAAAACTTAAGGAAAGACGTGCATAACATGGTGAACGATGGAAGCAGAAGAACGAACTTTCACTTGTAAAAGCTGACGTAAAATGTGACACTTCTGCCCGTATCTATGTGTGCTAACTAGTGCATAAAAAGGGCTGTGAATAAAGTACATGGGGTTGCACAAAATGATTTACAAATTTGGCAAAATTAATAACATGCTTTGAAATCGCTGTTCTTAGATCCCAGACTTGGCAGTGCCTAGCCCACGAGCCCATACGCACCCATGATTGAAGGGGAAGCGGAAGCAGCTTTCTGTTGTGAGGGGGCACCCCGTAGTGAAGTCTGACTCTTTGGCTCCGTGACGCTCTTTACAGTCATAGGAGACCGGGACCTCACGGCTTAAAGTGGATTCCGGAACCACTACAAACATTCATGGGAACAGACGGAATTCGAACCTCGAAACCTGTGGCACCAAGCGCCAGAGCGGAGACACTCGGCCATTCAGGTCCCAAATGTGTGAATGCCAACTGGCACGCGGTGTTCCGGTGTGGTCATCTACCCGAGTACTGACCGCGCCCAATGATGCTTGACTCTTCATGGTGATCTAACGAGAACCGCATATTCAGCATGGTATGGCCGCTGGCAAAGTTTCCGCATCTATGCGTGAAACTAATGCATACAAATTTCCTGCATATAATTATACGCTAAATAGGTTAAAAACTGGAGTGGGAGTGTAATCACTGGCGAAGAAATTTTTTTCCTGGAAATTTATAAGTAAAACCGTCATGTGTAAAATACTTTTTCGCCAACGTAGAAATTGAATAGGATCGCACTGCCAGAGAAAAAGAGTAAACATTCTTCTAAGCTTAAGGAAAAAGACGTATAATACATGGTGGAATCATGATGGTTGGAAGACGAGCTTCACAAAAGCGTGATACAAAATGATGACACACTGCCCGTATTCTTATGCAAAGTGCTAGTGGTTAAAAAGGGCTATGAATAAAGTACATGGGGTTAAAAATGATTTACAAATGGCAAAAATTAATCATGTTTCTGTTGCTGGGAGTTTCTCATCCCACCCTGGCAGGCCAAGCCTGCACTTGTTTGCCACGTACGTTCTCCAGTATGATTGAAGACGGAAGCAGCTTCTGTTGTGAGGGCACCCGTAGGTAGTGGTCTGACTTTTTGGCTCCGTGACGCTTTCTTACAGTCATAGGAGACCGACTCTACGGCCTTAAAGTGGATTCCGAACCACTACGAGCATTCATGCGGCACCTGTGCGGAATTCTCTGAACCCGGAAACCTGTGGCACCAAATGCGCCAGACACTCGGCCATTCAGGTCCCAAATGTGTGAATGCCAACGGCACGCGGTGTTCCACAGGTGGTCATCACCGTACTGACGCGCCCAATGATGCTTGACTTCGGTGATCTAACGAGAACCATATTCAGCATGGTATGGCCGTTGGCTACAAATTAATGACCCAACTGTGATATCGATGATGACTTTAATTTGCCTAGCAAACATGAAGGTTAAAATTGTTGGAAAAATATGTTCTCTTTCATTTTCACTGTAGTTTCTCAAATGAATACTTTTACCCGACAACCACTATCTTAATTTATAACATATTTCTTAAATGTAATTGTGCCTTTTAAAAGCTATATAAAACTGAAAAAACTTTTATTCAATTTTATTCAATGATACAGGAATTTTGATTTATATATGGTATGGCAAAGAGCAGACAAGAATCTACCAAATATTAAATGTTGCGGATTATAAGTTTGTGCACCTTATTCGTTACATATCTATATATTATCTTTTTATATAGTTTGTTACGATGCGGATTGCAATGACGTATAATATACCGGATTATGCAAAGTGTATGCATTATATACTGAGGATATAAGTTCATTATAGTTCGAATTATAAGTTATGCATTATATACTTGTTGCGGATTGTACGCTATGAATTATATATCTGCGGAATAAACATAGAGCATTGCATACTTGCGAATTATACGTTAGTTTTGGTTAAACTTAGTATATACGAGGTCTTTCAATTTTTTCGAGCCGAAAATCGCTATTTGCTGTTTATACAGTGCTACATATTATAGGCAAGAAATTACAATAATTCTAATTTTTAAATTTATTATTAAAATCTAGATAAAAAAATCTCTCTACCATTATACATTAAGTAACATTATTTTTTTAAATATTTTCACTTCTCTGAATGCATAAACACTTGAAAAATCTCTTGAGCACATTTATACGCATTAAAAATATTAAAAAGATTATAAAAATACTCCTTGCCACATCATATAATGATAAAATCATGAAGAAAAGGCCAATATGTTTTTTATGATATAGGAATGATTCCAATTTCTTTTAAAAAATATTTATATTCTTTCCATAGACAACCAATCAGATTGATTTTCGAAAGGATCACTTTCTGGCAACAAATACAATCTATTTGTTAACAACAATGAAATCTTATCGGGTTTTATAAGTTAACCACTTTCATCTGCTCTCAAGTAAATTCATCCGAGAAACGTATAAAAAAGACGACCATGGCTTAAAGCATTCAAACTGTGTCCTTTCGAGACGATCAGGTGTTCGAAAACAAAGCTCAACAATGAAAGTCACTGGGTAAGTTTTTAACTTTCTTTAACCCACACTGTAGCCCAATTATTCAATTTACGTTTATTATTCGACTTAAATTTATCCAATTAATCCGATTAACTTCCAAGTGATGGAATACAATTTTTGCAATCACCCCGTTATCCTTTTATTCTATTGAATTCTACCAATTTTTGTCTTCAATTATTCTTAATAAGTGGCAGCCTGATGGCCGATTGGCTAGCCCTCTGGCCTTTGGTACCACATGCTTTTAGGTTCGAATGCTGGCGTTAGCATGGATGTTCATTAGGGTTCCGGAATCCATGCTAAACTGTAAGTCCCTGATTAGCTTAAAGTCACTGGGTAAGTTTTTAACTTTTTTCTTTAACCCATCCACAGGCCAATTATCCGATTTAAAATTCAAGTGACAGAATACAATTTTACAATTGTCCCGTTATCCTTTTTTATTCGACTGAATTCTACCAATTTTTGTCTTGCAATTATCTCCTCAACAAATTGGTGGCCTGAATGGCTAGCGCTCATTACCCTTAGGTTTCGGGTTCGAGTCCCGGCAGTGCCATGTATGTTTGTAGTGGTTCGGAACCCACTTTAAACCGCGGTCCCGGTCTGCAGGATCGTAGAGCGTTGCGGGGGCATTGTTACTCCGCGTCCGTGGCTTATCTTCCAGGATTGCCCCCTGGGTAATACAAAGTGAGTAACATCTATGCAGCGCTTGCCTTAAGGCATCCAAGACCAAGAAGCTGTCTAAAGTGTTTATAGCTGCATTAGAAGAAAAATTTATCCTAATAAGTGGAGGCCTGATGGTCAACTGGCCTTTGGTACCACATGCATTTTAGGTTTGAATTCTGGCGCTGGCATGGATGTTTATTAGTGGGTTCGGAATCCATGCTAAACTGTAGGTCCCGGTCTAATTTAGCCTAAAAGTGAGCAAAAATGATCGTAGAGCGACAAACTAAACTAAATCTAAGTAGCGGTCACTCCTTCAGAGTAAAAGCAGTGTGTGATTGAAATTTACCCCTTCACATGGCTTTATCTGGGGCATTCTTGGGAAAACGTTTCTGACTCAATCCTGGTGGCCCATTTTTTTGTATTCTATTACGATAAAAAAATTAATGCACAAAACTAATAGTTTGAAAATTATAACTTCCAAAGGCATCTAGAAGTGGTAGAATAGAAGGCTGAAACAAATTCTTAGCATGCTATTTACATTTTGCTTTTTTACTTTCAGCTTTTACTTTAGCTATTTACTTTTTTCTTACATGCTGTTTTATTCTTAGCATTTGCATTGAATTTAATAAAACAGTATCCCTCCAAAACGCAAGAGAAAATTGCGTCAATCATTATTGATGTATTTAAAATAGATTTACGACAAAGGGCTCTATTAAAGTGCATATCATTACTATCGTTCATTATTGATTTGCAATCCAATGAAAAGAATATCTAAATACAGTGGATTTAAATTTTGTTTAAATTTACACCAAAAATATTTCCGAGCACATTAAATAAATATTCAGCGATATAAATTCCAGTCAATTACACTTATTGTTTTAAAAGGCTCATACGATTGAAACGATTGTTGGTGCTTTTTCACACGTTTATCGAAAAGTGTTCTTTTCGAGTTTTTAATATTATTTCTTCATTAGGAGATAAAACAGGGTATTTTGTTTTTATTTTAATTTGTGACTTTCAAAATTGTAAATTTTCCTTTGCACTCTTAATTGTTCAGTCGCAATTAGATAACTCGTGATTTTTTTCAAAACTAGCAATACGTAACT